CCTCTCACTGTTGTGGCCTCTCCCGTTGCGGAGCACAGGCTCCGGACGCGCAGGCTCCGCGGCCCTGGGTCCCGCGCCCCCCCCCCCCCCCGCCAGCCCTGCGGTGGCCCGGCTAACCCCGTGGCTAGGGGGCACCGCAGGGCGTGGCCAGGCCCTGCTCCGGAAGGCGGCACAGACCAGAGGCAGGCAGAGCTCCAGGGCTCGGCAGCCACCCACCCTGACCACACCCCTCACCCGTCCCGGCACGGGGGCACTGGGTCACCCCGTTCGCCCCGAGCCCAGTCCTAGGGCTTCTTCTTGTCACCTGAGGCCGCCGACCCCGTCCCCGCACTGCCGCAGAACCAGGACCCCCGCTCCTCCAGTCCAGGGTCCTCGGAGCCCCGCCCCGCAGCCCCTGCGTCTCATTGGTGGTGGAGCCGCGGCCGTGGGGGAACGGGCTCCTGGCGGCTGGAAAGCCCGTCCCGGCTCACAGGCCTCCATTTTCCCTGGGAAAAAAATCCATCTACAAACCTCATCTTGCTCTTCGTTTTACAAGATTTGGTAGTTTCAGCGGTTCTACTGAACTGAACCGGGCGTTTTAGGAAATTAACAAGAGGGTGGATTCCAGTGTTGCAGTGGCCAGGCAGCCCCGACCCGGGGACGGGAGTCCGGCCACCAGGACCTTTTCAGCTCTGACACAGACGCCGAGCATCTGTGAGCTCCTTCCGTTCACTGGAGGCTAACCAGATCCAAAACTTGGAAATGTGGTCAGAAAGAGTGAAACGGCACGCTTTTTGATGACGCGCTGAGTCACCGCTCACAAGCCCCTGAGGGTCACCTGACTTTCCAGGGGAGACAGCAGTTCGGCTCAGCAGGGACTGGCCCAGACTTCAGTCTGTGAGGTCAACCCAGCAACACTGATAGGGTGATGAGGGGCCGCAACGCCCCTCTCCCCACAGAGGATAATCCCAGTGGCTCCCGCCCCGACCAGCATTCCTGGTGGCAGCCTCCGGCGGGCTTTCCTTCGCCGGGTCCTTCCTAGGCGATTTAACCTGACCTGTGCTCCCTGTTTGCTCAGGAATTACGTTTCTAACATTTTGAGAATTATACTCCGACAGTCTGTAAACATATTTTTCCAAAATTAAAATACACGCTCAACAAACAAAATTCAGAAAATATAAACAAGTCCCACAGAGAGCACGCCGTGGACGGTCTCGGCCCGTCTGCAAGTGTCCTCTTTCGGGCTCGCTGCTCGCGGGCCGGCCGGCTGCACCCCTCCCACCGCGGCCCGAACCGCGGCCTGAGCCCACGCCCGGCTCACCTGCGGGCGGAGCTGCCGGACCTCTGCCCGCCCCGCCTGCAGACGGAACGACCGGACCCCCGCCCGACCCACCTGCAGATGGGGCGACCTGAGCCTCTGCCCTGCACACCTGAGGACGGAGAGCTGGACCCCGCCCCACCGCCCACAGTCCAGGCAGGGCCGCCAAGCCCCGCGGGCCGCACGCGGGGAACGCAGGGCTCCTCCACGCCAGGACTGGGGGCTCTCAACTCCACAAGAACACGCCCCCCTCCCGGCGCCTACCTGCGCACGGATGTGTCACGACCGGCGCGCACGTCGCCGCGCATGCGCACCAGGGGGCGGGGCCTAGCGGCGGCCGGGCGCTACCAAAGCGTTGGCCGGGGGGATCGCGGGCCGTACCACCAGCTCGGACGCGGGGGCGCAGACGCGTCGTGGGAGGCTACCAAGGCCGCTGCGGGGACGGGGCGGAGGCGGACCCGATGCGCTCTCCGTCCCGCCTCTCCCACCTCTACAGTGAGCCAGCCCCGAACGCACCCCTCACGCCCCAGGTCGATTCCTCCCGAACAGTGATGAGCAAGGCAGGGGTCGCCCTAGCCGACTGCACACGCGCTGGGGTCCTGGGGCCCCCTGGGGGGAGCGGCCCGGCAACTCCTCTGTGCCCACCCCCCGGCCCGCGGACAGGATCCGGCAGAGCCCCCATGTGACCCCCAAAGCCCAACCCCCCGGAAGGCCCGCTAGGCCGCGCAGCCCGGCCGTGACTCAGCACTGCGGCCCCGCCGGGTCCACGCACAGAGGCCGGCCCGACGCCACGGCGCCCGGGAAGCAGGGTCAAGTGCAGTTTCTCTTCCCCACTCCCTGCGGCCGTGGGCAGGGGACCGGGCTCCCCTCCA